AATTTTATACTAATAATTTAAAAATATATTTGACATAATCATAATTAATTCTTTTAAATCTTATGCCGTGCATAACACAAGTGCTATGCTAGTAAATCTAAACCTAAAAGCACAATAATCAAAGTGTAATTTATAGATATATCCATTTAATTTGCAATTAAAAAAAATTAATTTTCTTAGCTAAACCTATTTTGATAATCAAAGGTCAACATGTGATCTTAACCTACATCACTTGTGTAAAATTTGATAGATTTGTTTGCTATTTTTTTTTCAATAGATACCCGATCTTTTTCAAAATTATGTATTTTATAACATAGAATGAAAAATATATCCATTAATTTAAATGCATTTGGCTGTGCATAGCATTGGTTCTCTGCTGGTAAAATATAAACAAAGCCGTACCTTTTTGTTAGCATAGCTAAGAATCTGCCACATGTCAAGCTAATTAGTTATTTATTTCTTCTTTTTTATTTGTTCAATAATGCTGTTATAACTCAGGAAAATGAATGGACAATATCTCTTCATTTTCTCATTAATTTAGGATTTAATGGAAATGATAGTGGAGAATATGAAAATAACAAATGTCATCATTATGATAACAATAGAAAATATAAATATCCCCAATAGTTCGAATCAAAACCAATCCTCAACTTGTTGATTTGGCTAAAATTAAATTTGTTTAAACTAATCTCATAATCCTTTGGAAACACTAAAGTTATGTTTGTTTGAGTGGACATGAGTTTGGAATTGGATTAATAGTCCAATAAAATTATTAATCCGATATTTGGTTAAACAATTGAAGTACGGATTAACAAACCATTCGTTTATGGTATCTCACATATGATGAACTATTAATCTCACAGAAGGGGGTGGGATATAAATTGGAAGACTAAACCAAAGTTTGAACTATTAGTCCCTCCGTATAATCCTAACTCAATCCAAACATAGGATAGGATACGTAATCATGAAAATACTAATCTAACCTAATCCAGTCCGTCCAGTCCGTCCGTAATTTTAGGACTATTAATCATGAAAATACTAATCTAACCTAATCCAGTCCGTCCAGTCCGTCCGTAATTTTAGGACTATTAATCATGAAAATACTAATCTAACCTAATCCAGTCCGTCCAGTCCGTCCGTAATTTTAGGACTATTAATCATGAAAATACTAATCTAACCTAATCCAGTCCGTCCAAATAAATATGGCCTAAGATCCTAATCGGTTTTGGCTATGCCTCACAGTCAAAAGCATTCTTAAATTCATTTGATTCATTGCAGTGGCCAACAATTTAATGAAGTTAAATCTAACAAGCTCGGGAATTGCAGAGCCAATTGTAGAGGTTGCACTGAAATTTAAAGAAGTCGAAAGTATATACATTTCCTTCATGTGGAGGAGCACCCATGTATGTCCAAATCCTCCAAAAGAGTGAGCCATATTTTCCACCCTTATATGTATAACTTCTCAAGTTTCTTTCATGTCTTGAATCAATATGTATGGCTATACATATGTATTTTTCTTTTTTGATGTGACTATATATATGTATTAATAAAACTATTTTCTTGCTATCAAATTGAACTTAAGATTAATGCTAAAAAAACCGAAATTTCTTTTAGAAAAACGCTTGGAAACTCTAATTGAGCACCTATAATCCATCCCTAATAATGTGAAATGGATTTCATTCCTCACTCATCATCTCCTCTCTCTCTCTCTCTCTCTCTCTCTCTTCCATCTCATTAGAGGTCAAAACATGAGTCATATATTAGGGGATATAACATCACTGTTTATTTTAATGTTGTTTGTTAACATTGTTTATAGGGAGACCAAATTGTATTTATATTAAATTGTACTTGGATAAATGGAGTTTGCTTTTTTGGCTTTGCTAATGTTTATGAATTAAATCCTTGGAAAATTTTTGAGAGTTCATATGTAACCCCACATAAAATTACACAAATTTTTACAAACTCACATAAGTGGTCTTACAAAAATACGTAAATTCAATATAAATTTGCATAATCACATAAGTTTTCATGAACTTACGTAAATTTGTGTTCAACTTATGTATTTTTATGTGATCACTTATGTAAATTTATGAAAACTTATGTAATTTTATGTAAAATTACATACCATGTGCGTTACACATTGGAGCAATTTCCAAATCCTTGAGTTTTCCTTTTATGCTATTTTTCACTGGCATTTAAACCATATCTATTTTCGGGTGCTTTTATATTTTAGGGGAATGGTTATTGTGTAAGGCTCTTGGTGGTGGAAAAGTACAGAAGAAAGTGAGATGATACTATCATATGAATTTTTTATTTTATTTTTATATGTATTTGTTTTTTTTCTTTTTTTTTTTCTTTTTTTGTGGGTAGGGTGTGTGTCCGTATGTAAATATCAAAAGATCAAAAGTAATGTACAAGAAATTGTGTCTAATTTCTAATATTATACTTTATTTTGTTGTTAATTTCATTAAAAATGGGAATTGGTCATTAACTAAATTATACTTTATATTTCAAAATGACTATACAGATTTTCTCCTTTTGCATGCAAATGTATAATATACATATATATATATATATATAATAAAAATATAATAAAAAATTGTAAACATAGAGTGGTAAAAAAATTTTAAAAAAAAAGTCAATTAAAACCTGTGCATAGCATGGGTTTAAAACTAGTTACCCAGTAATTCAAAGGTTATTGTGAGACCTCTTACATTTTTATCATTGGATGACCTTTCAATGCAATATGACCGGTGACTAGTTGTCTACCGTCATTTTTACTCATTTGTTGATCTTTTCAGTTTCTTGGTGGATCACTTTGAGATCTTTTGTGGATGCTATTCTTTGGGTGACTCTTGGAGTAGTTTCTGACTTTTGGCCACTTGATATCTTTTATAGATCTTTAATTAGTACGTTCGTGATATTTATTCATTGATGTCTCTTTGTTAAAATTTGTGTAAAAAAGATATGAGTTTGACGAGGGAACTTTGGCCAGGTTTGATGTATTTAAAATAATTTATCTTTTTTTTTTTTTTATCACATCATTTTTTTATTTTTTTATATATCTTTTTATAAAAGGATAAAAAGTGCACTTATTTAGGTCATTCCAAATAACCCCTTTATATTTGAATTTTGTGAGTTTTAATTTTTTTTTCTTTTTTTTCATTTTGTCACCATTTTTTAAAAACATCATTCTATTTGTGTTAGTGAATTCGTACAACACATTTTTCGTGCTTGTACAGATGTTTTTTCCACTTGTATTTAGGAGTTGTTTGGTTTTTGAATTGGGTTAAAAAATTATAAAAGGATAAATAAAAAAAAAAAGGTCAAAAAATCACAAAAAGTCAAAAATCACAAAAGAATAAAAAAAAATTCACCATTCCAAAGCTCAAAAGTCAAAAAGTCAATCAAAAATATCAAACGAACAAAAAAATCCTAAACTAAAAAAGTCAAAAAATCAACTAAAAAGTCATTGCCAAACAAAAGCTTAGTGGTCTTTTAGTAACCTTGGTAAAAACGCTGTGTTTGTAGTTTGGGGGAAAAAAAGTTACATTGGCTTTTTTAGAAAGAAGTCATTTGGTAAGGTGAAAAAAAGCTACAAAAAAAATTACAATTATACCTTTTATATTATTTAGGATTATACATGGGTGAATATGTAAATTTTTTAAATTTAGTGGGGATAGTTTGATGATTTTATTATGATATGACATCATAAATAAATATTAGGAAAATGCCTGGTAGCTCGAAGCTACCAGGCTCGAAAATGGCTCGAGAGGAAGAGAGGGAGAGGGAGAGAAAGAGAGTGTTAGGTCCCTGTGTTGTCAAATCCGGAGACAAAATCTTATGTTGGTTCAAAACTGTGTTTTTCTGTTTTTGTACTGTCCGCTCGAGCGGAGACTCTTGAGCTCGAGCGTAGATTAGCAGGTCACAGTAGTTTGACAGGGCAAGCACAGATACTGAAAGATGTGATTTGACGCTCGAGCGGAAACTCCTACGCTCGAGCGCATCTCTGTTTCTTCGTATGCAGTTTTTGTTCAGTCCGCTCGAGCGGGCTATGTTGAGCTCGAGCGGAGATCGCGGATTCAGATTCCTATTTAAAGCTGCTAACGTTGTTTTGTTGGACATGTTTTCCTAGATCTGATCAAAACAAACTAGGGTTGAGTTTAAAGTCTATTGGAATTGGCTCAAAATTTCCCATGCCTCTTTAGCCTTTGTGCAACGAACAACCCGTTGCTGTTCTTCAGCGAAATTGCTCTACGAATAGTGCTAAGGCTCTCAGATTGCTCGGACTGTCAACACTTTCTGTATCCTTCTTCAATGGCCTGCCAGCCTTCTGGATCAAAGGCTCTCAGAAAAGCCTCATTCTGATTTTCCAAAACAGGTAGTTACTCCCATCAAAAGTAGGAGCATGATGCAAGTTCTGACCACGAGCTAACTCCGCTGGCTTGGAAGAGTTTGAGTGAAAGTGGACCAAAAAGCCATAAAAGCACTATCCCCGTCTTCTCCAGATTCAGGTTCTTCGGGTTCTTGCTCCGACCCGCTTTCATCATCCCAAGTTACAGTGTAGACTTTCTTCAATTCTTTTTCGAAGGGCATTCAAGGGCAATGTGACCAAAAGCCTTGACACTCATAACACTTGACCCTGGTCCCCTAACAATCTTTTTTTCAAGTAGTTTGAGCAAATTTTGGTGGACATTTTTGGTTTGTCATTACTCTTATCTTTGAAATAGGGGCTCTGAAATTCGGCTTCTTTTTCAAAAATTTTTTAAACTGTTTTGTAAGCATAGCCGTCATCTCAGACTCTAAATCAAATTCAGTCTCCGGAGGTTTTGCAGTCTCATGGGCACTCGTGAAAGCCATATTTTCTTTTTGCTTTTCTTAGAAATTGTGTGGGCTTCATAAGTCTGCAAATTTCCAACCAATTGATCGAGCTTGAGGGTATCAACTTCTGAGCCTCCTCAATGGCTGTCACCTTTGGTTGAACCTCTCGGGAAGGGACCTCAAAATTTTTCCAACAACTTTGCTTCCGGGATTTTCTCACCGAGAGTGAAACAGGAATTCACGATATCACTGAGTTTTGCATAAAATTCATCGAACGTCTCATACGCGTCGCATAAAAAAGGTTTCAAAGCGGGACGTGAGACGTTGAAGTTTTGCCCTTTTAACGAGGTGGTACCTTCGTGAATCGTTTCAAGAATATCCCACGCCTCTTTTGCTATTTCACACGTGCAAATTCGACGGAATTCTTCAGGTGTGACAGAGCAGAAGAGGGAGTTGAGAGCTTTGCTGTTCCAACTCGAATTCTGGTAATCGATTGTGTCCCATTTATCCAGGGGTTTAGGAATATCACTCCCATCAATGGTGATTGTAGGTTCACTCCACCCAAAGATTACGGAGTGCCAAACTTTCTCATCGATGGATTTTAAAAATGCTCTCATACGAGCTTTCCAAATAAGAAAGTTTGTACCGTTCTTAGTAAAGGGGGTCCTATGAGTGGAGTTACCTTCACGAATAGAATCCATGATACTAATCACACAAAATCACACTCCTATAGTTTTAAAAAAAAAAAGAGTGACCTGCTCTGATACCAATCGAAAATCTAAGTGATTCGTGATTAGATCAAGATTAAAATATTCCAAATCCCAAAATCCAAAACACACACAATCTAAATCAACAAGCACTTACGAAAGTGATTTAGATTGTTTGTTTTGTCAGATTAAATAATAAATCGACACAAAAGATTTTTACGTGGAAAAAACCACAATTGGACACCTCCAACTGTGATTAAAAAACCACGGGCGAAACGCCATAAATCAATCCACTACTGAAGTAAAAGATTACAAAGATATCTTACAAATTACCCAACTTAGTTCAATATGTCTTCGAATCTTCTGTAACTCTTTTTCACGACTTCATCTCGGAACTGATCAATCTTGAAGTTGATCCACAACCTCACCCACATATAGAATCAAACACCTTTCGAAACTATATGCTAGAATCTTCGGAATCCACCGAAGAGAACTCTCTCTTGAATTTAAAGAAACCAACTCCTTGATGTATGTATTTTAGATCCTGAGTGAAGAACTCTTCTCAAGACATCAAGAAAAACTCTCAAAAATCTCCCCAGACAG